AGCAGTCCCACATGGAAAATGAAAGAAGTTGATCATAAAACATAAGAAAGTCTAGAAGGAACAAAGTAAATTCTACAACATATTGCAAGGCCTGCATTTACAGACTTGATATCATTTTCAGAGTCTCCGTGGACTTCTGCCTTAATTATTAAATACTTTCTATGACCTCCAAAATGTTACCTATAAATTCTTTCACTCATAAGATCAAACCACTTAGATTTTCCAAAAGGCCCAAGAGAACATTTCTGGATTTTGTTAGAAATGCATAATTAAACCCCTTTGGATTTTCAAAAGAACAGAGTTTATTTTCAACAATGAGCTTTTCCATAAAGGTGATGTACAAGTCAGATTAGTAACTTTTTTGTGCCTTCAGATACTTGCTACAATCAGAAACAAAGAATTTGGATGACTAGTATGTCAGGAGATACACATACACACACACACACAAAAGTCATCCCTACAAAGTTTTCTAACTAACATTTATTTTCTTCACAAGTTGCTTTCTGTCTTTCCTCTTTTTAAATTAAGGAAATTAAGGAAATTAAGGCTCCAATTCAAAAATTTGTAAGAGTTCTTCTACTTGGATTACTGAAATTCTCTATGCAGATCCTATTTACCCAAAAGATTGTCATACAACTAATAGTGTAACCAAACATCAGAAATGTTCATGCACAGTATCCAGACCAGACATGTCAAAATGGGTTCCTGACCCAAATAGCTTACACACCATGAAAAGGTGCGTACAATACTGTTCAATGGCCAATAAAAGCTGTAATTAAGGAATACAGCTTGAGGGAGAAGAATCAAATTATGTTTTAATTACATCACTATAATCACATTTATCTATTTTAAGTGAGAGGTTAATTTGTTCCCAGGTTTTGTTTTTTTCTGTTCCTTATTGATTTAATGTTAAGTTTGGTAGGTTAAAACAAACATTTTAGCTTCATACATTAAAAAAATAAGTTCTGTCCCCCTACATCATACTTGGCAGCATATTTGAGCAGTTCAGTTCTGTGCTTAAATTTTTTCAAATATTGGACAAAACTGGCTGGCTATATCCCTTTTGATTTGTTAGTAATCACTGAAATTAGCTGGTTTATGCATGACTTTACACTCGTTTTAATAATGCTATGGTTCTTAGGCAGCATGGACGCATAACACTGGCAACAAAATTCTAGCATACAGCTGTTAAATTACCTTCCAAGTATATTCCTAATTTCCAATATTTTTCCCCATCAGAATATGCAACTACACCCTGCATTTTTTTTTTAACTATCTTAATTATTCTGAAGAGTTATCTGCTGTGATCAAACATTGATTTAGTAGTTGGTTAGCTCATGAATTGTTTTCCTCAGCAATAACGTGTGACAAGGGAGTAGGCTAAAATGAGAGCAAAGAAGGAATAAAATCATAGCCGAGTTTCATTAAGCTTAAGCTTGTACCTTAATAGTCTGTCACTTCTTGACCTTTTCCTAAAAAAGGAAGATACTGTCATTTTCTTCCAGTTCAGATATTTTTATTTCAAGGAGTCATTCAGAAATGAAAATTAGCTTACATGCTAACAACTGTTTGGACAAAAATGAGATTTGATAGTTTACAATACAGAACAAGAAATAGGTTCTGCCATGACAATAAGCTTATACAGTATAGCCTTAAACAGTTAAAAACAAGATCTGAAAGACAAGATCAGTCAGCTCTTCCAGTCATACTCCTCAGAGAAAGGAGCTTAAAGATTAAGAAATAACAGTAAGGTAAGCTGAGTAAGTGAAAAACCTAGAGGTTACTCACTCTTATCAACATCTTGAAAGAGAAATGGAAGAAGATATCTTGATAAAGAGGTAGATGACAAACACTGATTATCTACTCAGCATCCTCTCTTGTCATAAGGCTCCTACTGATCTGATCTGCCAACAGCATTAACGATGGGGAGACATAGCTAGTAGTTAAATGTCATAAAGGAGTCATCACCTGCAATACAGCTCAATAACTGCTCTTCCAAAAAAATCAAGTTCCATTGCAGAAGCCAATCCAACTGTCAGCAAAAAGGAACCTGACAGGATGATTAGGTTTCAGCTTCATAGATTAAGGCAGCATGAACTTCAGCCCACCAAACACAGATGGTTGACTGACACACAAAAGAAAAGAATTAGTCACTCTGAGTAACTGGACAAAACAGAAAAACACTTTAGAAAACATCCACCCCCTTCTGCTTGTCCCAGCTTTTGAAGAGATTGCCTCTTACATGCAATCACAGAGAGACAGTTCAGTCAGCAGCAAGGATATAAGAGAAGGCAAGCAAAAGGTAAGGCAAAGAAAGCCAGCTAAGCTATTCTCCAAGTTCATTTTCAAATAAGGGAAATCAATTAGAGAACAAATTAATTCAAAAGGTCTGCTGTAGAATAGCAGGCTGGAGTTGAACTGCTGTAACCATTGGATCTTATCTGTAAGAGATTTCTCTTTTTTTAACATGGACTAAGTAGATTAAAGCTGTAAAAGCACAGGAATACTTAGTTTCTGGCTAATAAAACTAGAAATAATTCAAAAAGTTATGAAAAGAGACAATTTAAAAAAGACCAAGTTTCTCCTTTATCTCCCTTCCTCCAAGGGAATGTATTAAGAGAAATGACTTCATCTGATTTTTCTAATTTGAGAATACACTCTGGATTGAGAATAAGTAGCTTACAGAATTAGAGATGTGTGACTTACCCACAAATTTGGTAGGGTGCAACTAAGGAGACTCTGAATTGAAACATTTTCTCACTTAAAGGCAAATCATATATCAGCGGTCAGGTGCGTCAGGCTACGACAAGTGTTCTACAGAATTTGAAATGAATTGCAGTAAAATAAATTCTATAAAATCTACTCATAAAACTGCAGTGGAATTGAGATACATTGAAACGAATTCCGTAAGTTCCTAGTTGTAGATTTCATCTGTCTTACCATCTTTCTCTGGAAACAAAAATAATTGGACTAAAACTTAAGATTTATTTTGCCTTTCACTTGCACCAACATAATGTAACTGTTATACTACAGTAAGAGCCCAGACGCAACTCCCACTGATATAAAATGGAGATTTCACCTTCTAAATGAAATTTGCAACTTAAACATACAGCAACCTGGTTTTTGAATTGACAGCATGTTAACTAACAGTATTCCATTTAAACTACTCTAACATCCTAGGGCAATAAGGGTTTGGTTTTTACAAGTTTGCAAGTTGCCAGTTTGTTCATCCCCAGAAGGACACAGCCAGTCTTCACTGATGAAAACAAAATTCAGTAATGAAGACAATTTGTTCTGTTACTAATAGTGGGAATATCAATTTTTTCCATGGCATACTCCTATAACACCCCGAGAGAATATACAAACTCTGTTAACAAATTACACCTGGACAACAAAATCATCTCATAGCAATACTTCAGAAAGAGAAGCAAAAGTCTTGTTTATACCACCTAGGGTTCAATTTGTGTACATGTTGAAAAATCGTCCTCTGAGTCCCAACTACTACACCCATATATGGGGAGAAATATTCTAGACATAACTCCAGCTACAAGAAACCAAGAGATGAGGACAAAGTACTGCCTCTTATTTTGATCCGAAGAAAACTGCTCACTTTTCCATGCCTCCGCGTCAGATACGGACTTGAATATGAACTTGGCCATGCCAGTTCAGTGCTTAGATTTTTCATAAATTTATCAAAGGAGAAGTAACAAGAATATCTGTACCATAACCAGGTCACAAAACACTACAGCCTTCACCACACAGATCCCCTGTGCATATAGTCTCCTTAAATTTTTTCAGGACTTGAGAAGTAGCTACTTCCACATCTTCCAGTATAGAAAGGAAGAACAAAAACGCACATGCCAATACAGTTTAAAAACATCACAAGGGTCTCAGTTGTCTGTATTTCCTGGACCACCACCAGCATCCCCACTATGAACTCAGTTCCTCGAAAACACTCCAGAAAGCCTATTACTCATCTTTCATCAGCTGCCAGTGTAACTGTTAATCAAGAAAAGAACAATCTGGACACAACTGCAAGTATGCCAAATGAGCACCTTCCCTAGAAGATCTGTAAAACGGGCATTTAACCCAGGTACAGCACAGTAGCATAAAAGAATACAGCCTAATGTGTTTATATAATATATATAAAACAAGTTCAATCTAGTAACAGGAGAAAAATTTCTTGAACAGCAGTGACTGAGTCACATGAAATTAAGCTTTACCTTCAAAGCCTACAGGCAAAATTCCTGATGCCAAAGCCACATTCAGTTCTCCATTAAAAATGCCTGGAACATAGTGTCATACTACTCATAATGCAGCAACAAGACCCACATCCATCAGTTTTAATAAGATGATATAAGGTAGGATATTTAATAATGGCAGGGAGAACTATAACAATTACACCACCACAGCTTAAATTTTATTGGCAGTTCAGGGTTGGAGACAGAGGCAGTGTGCCACCCCCCCCCACAAAAAATGGCTTCAAATTCTACAGGAAGTTCATCAAAATTCAGAAGGTGACGTTTTCATAAGTGACTGCAATATTCTACTTTCTGCTTCCCTATTAACAATAAGGAAGCAATACAAAGCACTTGTCCAGGGAAGAAAAAGCCTATTTCATTGCACATGTTAGAATGTCTCAGATAACAGGAAGGCAACAGTTTTCTACATAAATTAAAATAGCTCTCAGTTTTGCAAGGGGGTTGATTCATTATATTAGATGCATTAACTCAACAAATCAAACGTCAAGTGATAAAGTGAAAATCCTACTATTTAGCAGGTCATCTTTTTCATAATCACGTAGTTACTTTTATTGCACAAGTTCTCCTTATATTAACAGTTGGTTCTAATGGCAGGGAGGAAGCACACAGGGGGCAGCATTTCCATCATTTCCTCCTTAACTGAAAGGCTCCTTTTTCGGTTGGTCAGAAATCAAGCATATTATGCATATTAAAAAAATTAAAAAACATATATATTTATACATTAAAAAAATAACTTACCTGCTTGGGAAGCCGGAAGAGAGAGTTTTTATAAAATATATCTTTAGCCTGACTCCATGTTCCATCGATGATAATCATCACAGATGGACTAGAAGGCATCAAAGCAACTTCTTCCAGATTAGTTGCTTCAGCTCCAGGATACAAAATTAGAGTATTGGGATTTCTGCACACAGTTGCTAATTCAGGATACCTTCAATGCACACACATAAAAAAGACAATTGAATGTTTCCACGACAAATATATACTTTCAGATATTCTAAGCTACTAAATCCAACTCATCTCAATTTTAAATTTCCAAAAGTCCATCACTCAGCCAATCTCTTTTCAAAACTTCATGTACAGTTCTTGTTTTCCCCTTGCCTCCTAATGAGAGGGAGGGGGAACTTCACAGTAGTAATCAGTAAAAAGCTTAATGAAGCAATCAGCAATATTTTCCAATGCTTTAATCAGTAGAGATTAAGACCTTCACTTCAGATAAACATTAGAGGATGTTTTGAATTGTTTACTAAAATTTTACCATAAAAACTAATCTAAAATTTATTCCAACACTAAATGCAAAAATACTACAACCTACAGTCATGAATCAGTTTCAGTTAACATCAACTTGCAGTCTTCAGAACTGCCTCAATTCAGGAAGAAGAAAATACAAAGCAAGGATTGACTAAAGCATATGCAGCAGACTAAAAAAATTAATTCTGCATAGTACTTCAGAGGTTACAGAGAGCGACTGCCAGTGAGGAGAGGGAGCAGAGTAACGAGCAGTTTAAGTAGTCTATGACTGTTTTTGCACTCGGAAGTCAAATGGAAAGCTAGTAGAGCTTAGCACTGCTCTGGCCTCCTCGCCTTCTTTAAGATTAGATTGCTAAGAGGGCCAAAAGTATTCCTGATCATTAAGATCAACTGGTGAGTAGCAGTGCCCCTTGTTTGACGGTATTCTGAAGATAGTACACCAAAACAGTCATGTGAAATACAGCACATATCACAACTCATTTAAAAAAAGCTAAGAAACCAAAGCACCAACTGTATACCATCTACAAAAGGCAACAAGGCATTGTGGAAATAAGGTGCAAAGCAATACAATGGGATTCTCAATAGCCAGCACATCAAGTGGGCTATCCATGCTATCTTAGAAGAACCACAAAGGACAAGTATATGTACCAAGACACCAACAGAAGCAGGATTTAAAGATGTCAGTTCATGCTGGGAAATTCCTAACACTATTGTGCACTCAGTCTTGAAGCCCCAGGAGCGGGGCACCTGCACCATTTCTCTAAAATTCAAGCAAGCATCTCCTTTCCTTTATTGCAATGAAGGCAGAGGAAGAAAAAAGGTTGGGGAAGAAAGCAATGCTTATTAATGGTTCTTGAGTTGACATCTATTAGGTGTACTTCAAACCTGCATACCTCACCACACTCTGGACAGATGGGGAAATACAGTTTGATTGCTGTTAGGTTTAGGTAGAATTTCAGTCCTAAGACACTGAGACTCTAAAGCTCAAGACTTGCCTAGGACCACATGGGAGACATTCAAAATGGAAGAGAAATTGAATTCAGCATACCAATATTAGCCCAGAGCCAGCCTTCCCATATTTGACCATCCTCACTCCAGGTAAACAATCCAGATAGAACTGGCTCAACCCTACGTTGTTCAATACTGTCAATGTTACTTACCAAAAAAGTAACCATCTTTTTTTCCAAAATAAATAAAAAATGTAAACAGAGATAGAAAAGCTGTAAAATAAGTCTGTAATAACTTTCTACCAAGGACTACATGGAAACCTATCCGCACACAACTTTTAACCTTAACTTAAAATTTTGGTAATTTCTAATCACTTCAGCCTAACCAGAAATCATGCTACTCAGTCACATACAAGGGATATTTCATTACAGGCTACCAAAACATTCAAGGTTTAAATCTATAATAGTGGTCATTAATTTCAGATGCTTATCTTGAGAGCCCAACTCCTCAGAAGAGCCAAGTCTCCTAATTCTGGGATGTTAGAGCTTAAAAATAATCAAGACCTCTTAGGTGATGGCCAAAAACACCCCATTCCAAAAGCAAACAAAAAACACCCACGACCTTGAGTGCTGCTGAGCGTATGTAGAGAGATTTACCACACTTTCCTTGCACAGTAAGAGGTTCCTAGAAATACATGCTGCTCAGCTCCTTGTAGGTCATGGCACATCAGGCTTTAGTTTTGCCTGTTTTCTAAGGCTTTGCTTTCTGTTAGTTTGTGGCCAAAACATAGCACAATAAGCCTTTTCTTACTCATGAATCACCATTGCTATGAAGAATTTGCCTCTCTCCTCCAAACAGGTTTCATGTGAATCCTTCAATTTTAATTATAACTGCATAAAAAAATTGAAACAGTCTCACTTAAAGAGACTGGATCTGCAACATTGATAAGTAAAATGGATCTGCGTTAACTGAACAACTTCATGTTGCATTTGAAAGGCAAGTACATATCAACAATACCACTTTTCACAGCCACTTAGCAAGAACACGCTTCTGATCTGCTTGCTTTGGGTAAATGCTGTAATACAATATATTTAATCACACACTACTATTGAAATACTGCAATAGGGCAGGATATCTGCTGAGATGGATACCCTAGAGCCAGATGTTTTAAAACTAAACCATTAGAGGGAACAATTGTGAAAAATCAGCCATTTCACTGAAATGCTGAAATAGAGCTGTTGCCTGCTCAGCTCTTCTGAAAACCTGATCCACACACTATAATACAGTTTGCTTGGCTTTTTTTGCATACAAGCTTTGACTTGTATGCTTAAGCTTACTATAGCACCAAGTAAAAGATTATGAATTAGATTTCATCTTCACGTATCTTTACTTCTAAAAGCAAGGGCATATAGTCCTACAATAAAAATTCATTAAAACAACATCAATACTGATTTTTTTTTCCCCAAATGTCATCAATTTCTTCCATTGTTTAAGTACAAGAGTAATTTGATACAAATAGTATGGCTCATTAAAAATACAGGAGATGAATATAAACATCAACCTTAATAAAATTATGACAACTCATGAAATATTAAACAACATATGCCAGTTTTGAAACTCTCCCCAGACCCACAGCAGAAGCTCCTTGCTCAATGCCATGCTACGCACTGAAAGGTATTTTTACTTTTCATCCCCACCACACAAGGCTGGAGCTAAAAAACTCAGCACCAGGCCACTTGCACGTGTGTTACCCAGCCCACTCTTGCTGTGTATAGAAGCACTAAAAATGACTAGACACAAAGCCCAGGCCACATACTAGACCACTGCATTAGGAAGGAGACATACAACTTCTTAGAAGGACACCATCTTTGACCAAGTCCAGAGAATTGCTAAACTGCTGAAAGGAGAATTGGGAAAGTCTCAATACAGGCTTAACCTACTATAAACCACCCAAGTTCATCTTTTGAGGTGGGATGGGTTTGGGGATCAGGTTGTTATTTTGTGGTTTTGTTTTAACTTAAACTGCTGTTAAAGTTCAGAAACATAATTCTATAGTCCAGCTAGACCAGTGATTGTGGGGAAATGAAATCCAACACACACACAGGTAAAGCAGGAGCGCAAAGATTCAGTAGGGGTAAGCACAAGGAGCACAAGTGCAGACGCTCACATCACGATAAGCTAGCTCAGGCTACAGAAGAGTTGATAGTAATGATAGAAAATTTCACATAACAGCTGCCTACAGTCAAAAGGTGATTTTCTTACTCATCTTGCCATATTTTGATCGAACACACAACAGCTTTCACAGCGTTTGTGACTTCTGACATGGCCAAAGACAACATGTCGTTTGCCATCCAGCCACACAGTTTTGGCAGTACAGCTGAAGAACAGGGATCTGTCTGTGCAGGGGTCAGCATTTGCTATGGACAAGATACAAGGACCACATGCTTCAAAATGAAGCTTTCTTTCAGATGTTCTTCAGGAAACTTCTCAAACAGTCTTGCCACTAGTTACGTTATAACTTGAATCCAGGAGCAGTTCAGTGAGAGTACCTGTTGCAATCAAATCCCTTCTCAGTGGTGTTTAGGACATGGAAGTCTTCCGCTGTCTTTGAAGCCTCAAGCACAAATGCTTGAACACAACTGTGGCCTAACGCTGGAAAACATGGCAAACACCAGGCACAGTAGGGGGCACAGCAGCTAGCATAGGAGCTCAGAACAAGCGGAGGGCAAACTGCAGTGCGGCTATTGGCCATTGTTCGAGAGAGACTTAAAGTATACCTTACTTATATGTAGTGTGTCCTAGGGCATTCATTCCCTCATGCTTTTATAGAAGCTTTGCTTACTCTGAAATATGTAAAGGCTCTTAATTTTACCATGAGCAGCCTCAGCCAGCATGCTCATGACAGACTCTTTGAAGCTACCAAATCAAGAGGGGACTGAAGCTGAATTTCTAAACAACCAGTACTTGACTTCCTACAGATCAGAAGCTGACCTTAAGAGATTTTACAACTCTGCCAGTCAAGGAAAAAAAGAAAGAGGAAGTTGCTGTATTTGCAAAAAATATATATTTTCTTAAAACAGTTGAGCTCCTCCAGAGCCTTAACATTTCCAAAGGGCCTTCAAGAGAGTGGTAAAACCTCAAAACTGAAATGAGAACTCATTTCTGGCTTTAGGTACTGAACTTCAGTGTACTGTCAAATTTGGTGGGATTTAGAATTCATTTTAAATGCTACTTTTCAAATAACTCATCTCATTTAAAAAGTGGATCTGCTAAAGAACTTCAAACACACAGTTGTTATATGTTAACTTAACAATTAAGACAACCAACCAAGCAAATCCTTCATTTGTCACCTGTATTCATGTACTTATAACAGGTGTTATCAAAAGCTTTTTACAGATTTGTTATGATTATGACTTTCAAGTCATGAACCTAGGTCCTTTTATAAAATCTAAATGAAATAAAATTATAGTGAATCACTGATGAAGTTAAATATACACAATTCACTCATACATATGTAACAAGGAAAAAAACGTGCAGATCTAACCTTCCACCCCAGCCAAGATGACTGTAACAGAGTTCTTAATTCTTAATATTGTGCAAAGAGTTGAGAAGACAACTTAATTCTGTTGGAAATTTGACAGTCATGACCATTACATAACAGATTTCAGCTGGCATAACCTGAAAGGGCCTGATAACAAACATGACTTTGCCTCTAAAGCATGATCTAGGTTT